TGGTAATGCCCTGGATTTCACCATCAATCTGCGCGATCCACTCTCCTTCGTCGAAGATACCGTTCTGCTTCAACCCCCACGCGCTCTCGATGGCGTCCCACCGCTCCTTCGCAACGGAGTTTCCCGCCTTCACATGTGTTTTTATCGTCTCGAAGTGACGGTCAAGAATCAGACCCCGTCCTTTCAACTCTGCAAGTTTGCCAAGATCTTTCAACAACCCATGGGATAAGGGATTGGACAGGGACATGATCCCCTGTGTACGGCAGGCAACTCGTGGCCCGCTGCACGTGCCTGGCCTGGCAGCCGCCAAGGGGGCGCGAAGTTTACAGTGACCACCCTCCCCTCTGCATAAATTGCAGATTCCGAGGTGTATGTATGCACCCACCTTCGGCACACCTACCCCCCTGCGAAATCCAATACTTAGATCACCCCCCCGCCCGTCCCCCCCTCCCCGTTCGAATGTTCTTATCTCGCAGCTGCTGAATGTGCTCTTGNCCCGTCCCCCCCTCCCCGTTCGAATGTTCTTATCTCGCAGCTGCTGAATGTGCTCTTGATCTTATCTTAAGCAGCAGTGGTACACCTCGGCGTGCGTTCTTATTCTTACCTGCAGGTGCAATCTGAGCACGTGTTCTTACCGGAAAATTCTTAATTTTTGGGGGTTTTTTAGCACCATATTCTTAAGTGCCATGTTCTTAAGTGCGGGCCTCAACTGTATTGCAGATCTGAAGGACGATCTTTGTGAGGAGTCGCTTGCCCACCTGAACATGGACCAACTGAAGATAGACTCGGACGACGACGAGGCCGACTCTTCGGTGGGAGGCGAGGGACAGCCCCTGATCTCCTCGTCCGCCACCGTACGCTGAGGTATCTAGGCGGTTCGGAGACCTCGAAGAAATAGCAAAGAGGTGCAGCATGGCCGGGGTAGCTTACCATCTTCGCAAGGCGAAGTTAGCCTGGTGATGAGCGAGACTGGGTCAAAGAAAACGAAGCAAATAGACTATGCATGCATGGCAGACTTCATGTAAAGTTGCAGAAGCTGCCCACAGGCGATGTTCATGGACGTCTGTTTTTTTTTTTTTTAAGGGTAGGGCGTACTACTTGTACTGCTGTAGGTGTTGGTATGCCCTTGTTGTGTGACCTCCAAAGTCCAAAGAGTGTTGTCAACGGCATGTATTATCGTAGGGGGACATGAGGGAGAAGGAGGGAGAAAGAGTGCCAGGCCCAAAGCCAGTCGAAAAGGGGGCCCGCAACTCGTATCTCAAGGTCTCTCCTAGCCGCCCCTCAAGGCAATCCCATCTGCGGTACACGAAACCGCCAGTGATTTGGTACAATCCGACTAATCTACCTCCACGCACGAACACCCTCCCTTGGTTCTTTACGCCAGTGAATAACCACCACTCGTGCGTCGAAGAGTACATCCGAAAAGCACCTAAAACGACGCAAATCAGAAACAAGGGGAGACCCGCCATCGGATCAAAACCCCTTACAAATCTCAACGCCTTCACGCCGTTCATATCATGAAAGATTCCAACGGCCGTATTGCAACATCAAGGCAAGACAATATCTACCACCGCCCCCGGCTCGCTCTCTACGCCACGCTCGGCTGACTCGACAAGGTCCTCCCTGCGCAGCACAAAAACAAATCATCAAGCACGCCCCTACCCTTCTGGTGAGGTCGTACGACAAACTTGGCCAAAATAGCCACCTACAATGCACCTGATATCCATTGTCCGCTCCTCGAATAACACTGATAGTCTAGACGCCGTATGCCCTTCCTTACGCAACACATACCTAGTAGTTGGGGACGACTTCATACGCCCTCTCTAGTGTGCCAAACAACGCGCGTCGCTTTCCCCTTCTCGGAGAGGCGCTTTCCTTTCTTCATTCCTTGATCAAAGGCGACGCCTGGTGAGATTCGAACTCCCGGCGTATCCTTACTCGTTACATGGTCTTATTCACCAGACTACTCAGTCACTCGGTTGCCTAGAAGCACATACACGTGGCGATCGCCCAGCATTCAATCAACCAATCAGACACATGGTACATGCAACATCGTGGAAACACGACCAAACTCCTCCCGTAAATAGAGTCCAACAACACCCAAGAGGCAACGCCCTCCGTCATCCAATAACTGCAAGATCGAAATAGTTCCACCTCAATCATGAGAGGACGACCATAACTCTGTCACGTTGCAGAATATCTGCAGACCGGGCGCAAAACTCTCCGAGCATTACACTCTCCAAAACAAAAAAACCACGCACGGCGCCACCCTCCCTTATTCTGCAACCACACAGGCCACACAGGGAACACAAAACAAGCGGTGACGCGTGAAACTCGAGCATATGGCGGCGGAAACACCCATGGATTTCAACAAGCAATTAACAGCGATCTATGCAAGTCCGCAACAGCGCCTCACTTGCGACTATTCACGTGCAATACAAGTTATCGCCCTTTACTGCTAAACGCCACATACNGACCGGGCGCAAAACTCTCCGAGCATTACACTCTCCAAAATAAAAAAAAACACGCACGGCGCCACCCTCCCTTATTCTGCAACCACACAGGCCACACAGGGAACACAAAACAAGCGGTGACGCGTGAAACTCGAGCATATGGCGGCGGAAACACCCATGGATTTCAACAAGCAATTAACAGCGATCAATGCAAGTCCGCAACAGCGCCTCACTTGCGACTGTTCACATGCAATACAAGTTATCGCCCTTTACTGCTAAACGCCACATACAAAAGAATCAGAAAAAAAA